TGGAAATATATTTAACATGATTGCACATGTATCACCTATATCAGATTGCTTGCTCTCTTGGGGAAGGGGTTGGAAAGGGAGGAAGAAAAATTTGAACTCAAAATCTTATAAAAATGAATGTTGAAAACTACCTTTACATATGTGAGAGATGGCCTAAAGTGCAGTTTCCTCAGCCTAAGCCCTCAGTTGAGTTTCACCTTTCTCAAAAATCCATGTCAGCACAGGCAGTTAGTTCCTGGTTGCTCCCGCTTCCTGGTACAGGCATACATCTAGTTCCCAAATATGGCTATGTTTGCTTCTACTGGGTACTAATTGCTGCATTTAGATTGTATACTTTGAGTACCCAGCCAATGGGGGAAAGAGGTAAGAGAGTGGGAGGGGGCATGCGTTGGGGCTATAAAACTTTGCTTCTCACAGCCAGATGCGCTCCTGGCTGCCGTTGCTTGAGCAGCCACAAGGGCTGTGCCCTTTCTCATGAGAAAGAATAATGACCTTTTCTGATCTCTGATTCAGACTCCAAACTCTTGATTTTGGTGGTCACTGTCCCACACACATATAATTGGGAAAAATAAAATAAAATACTATTTATTGAAGAAAAAATAAAATTATTGTAAAGAAAAACCACAGGGTAATTTAGGATTGATCTTGCATTAATTATAGTCAAAAAAGTTTTTTTTCTAAAAGGTATGCTTCTTATTTATACTCACATTTGCATTTGGAGTAGAGGATATTTTGAAGATTTATTTAAGTTTAAATAAATAGTTTCAGTATCCTTAGAGAGAGAGGCTTATTTGCATTCTACTAATTCATAAATTTTGCCAACAGATGGTCTGCTTCATGATTTCTTCTACTTGGAAATAATTATTTTGTGTAATATAAGGAGCTTTTGAAATGAAATAACACTTTCTGCTTCTAAGTGATAATCCTTATTTCTTACATTGAATAAAATGATAATGAATTTCCCTCTGTATATACGTGCATGCTTATATGTGGGGACATATATGCATATATGTATATGTGTGTGCCCTACTCACCACATTTTGGTAGTAACAATTCTCTTTTTATCTACAAAAGCATGACATTTTAATTCGTTCCAAATGTAACATGTGCTACTGATCAACACTTCTATCCCAGCCATCTCATCTTCATTATTACTAATTTATAGAGTCTAGGATATTTTTCATTACAAAATGAACCAGAGTAAATTCAAAACATTTGCTAAGAGTTCTTCTTTGATATTCTCTTCCCTGAAAGAGGGGAGAAGTAGATTATAGCATAGAAAGGAGAAAACATCCAGAATTCATTTGCAACACAGAATAAGAAGGAGTGGCTAAAGCTTGCTGTGGGAGAATAATAGCACATTTTTGGGTGTTTCTTTTTAGTGCTTTTGGAAGATGGCTTTTTAGGGAAGGGAATGTGTCATAAAAATCTTTCTCACCCTGCAGTTGTAATTATTTTTCACTTAAATGTTCCTTTGGAAATTATAAATTTGCAAGTTGCCTTTCCTCATGTAAGAAGAAAGATGAAATATAAACATAATGAAAGTTTGTGATAAAAAGTTCTTTTGCCCTGATTGCCTCACCAAAAAAAAAAAAAGCAAAAACAAAAGTTATTTTGACAGTCACTTTGTGCTTTATAAGAGGTTGGGGATACATAGGAATCTTAAAGATTATTCTAGATGTCCCTCCCCTTTTTTTTGCTCTTTGTATCTGGGCAGACACTAGCAACATGCCTACCTGGGCATGAACATCTATTGCATTATCTTCTCAGCCTTCCATTGCAATAGGTCTTAACATTAGCTGGAGAATGAGTGAGCTGCTACCAGAGTGAGCAGGGTGACACATACCTTACATGTGTAAGAGAGCCCTAGATGGGTCCATTTCTAGGGAAATCAGGCCCCTAGTTTTAGAGAAAGAAGAGAATTGTTAGAAAATTATAAGTTAACTCCTCTTTACCATTCTCTATCTTGTCCAGGACTATACCTTTTGTTGGGTCTAGGGCTATGTAGGAATATGGTCCATTTGGCATCACAACTGAGACTGGGAAATAAAGAGCAATTAAGCAAAGCTCTTCAAGTAATTAGTTCATGTTAGCTAAGATATACAACACACACACACACACACAAACAAACTAGTAATATTGGACAAAGGAACATAAGAGTGCTATGTTTATATGTCTGTGATGGAGGGAATTGAGACACAACTAAAATTTATTAAATTAAATTTATATTCATTTTTGCATTAGATCCTGCCAATATTCAGCATGTTATAATCAGAAGAAAATTTGAGATATTGAGTTTGAGTCAATATTTCAAACTCCCCCCCTACCCCAGACAATACTGCTACACTAAAAGCAACCCATTTAGCTTGTAATGTATTTATGCAAGGGAGTAGGGTTTTATTTAAACTTCAATTGATATAACAGATGGTCCAGACAACTAGATTCAATCAACAGAGTAAACTGGATATTAAGAAATTTTTCTACAACCAACCCTGGCAAAATGTGTGAATAAGCCCTTAATTAATTTGCCAGGATTATGAAGGATGATGATACTATATAGGAAAAAAAAATCTTGTGATTTGCTGTTAAGAATCAGATACATCTCTGGGCCTATGTACACAAGCAGTAGTTAGTCAAGTGGTGGAGGGGGAAGAACTTCTGCTTTGGGAGTTGAGGATTCTAGTTCCAAAGCTAGAGCAAGGCCCTGAGAGGGAATCACTCTTGGGAGGAGAAGTCTCTCTCTATCTCTATGTCTGTTTCTGTCTCTGTCTCTCTGTCTTCTTCTATCTCTCTGTTCCTCTCTTTCCCTCCCCTTCATCTTTCTCTTTCTCTTTTCTCCCTTTCCCTGTCTCTGCCTCTGTCTCCCTGCTTGTCTCTGACTCTCTGTCTCTTTGTCTCTCTCTGTCTCACTGCCTCTCTCTTCTTTACTCTCTCATGCATCAGTTGACCATGTATCAATCGGAGACAATGTATACAGCTGGGATCAGAAAGACCAGACCAGTAGGAGACAACACATTTAGACAAATTGGTATAGACACCCAAGGGACATGACCCCTTGTACTAGAGAAGAGTGCTAGCTATGGACTTAAAGAATGACATTCAGGCCAAAAAGAACCAAATGTCAGTTATTCCTTTGCTTCATGTGTATCTTGCAGTTTACTTCACTTCCATTATACTGTTAAATTTGAGCCCCTATTATTCCCTGGGCCTGTGTGTATTTGTGTGATTTGTGTTATAGCATTCCCTAGGCTTCTTTTTGGGGAGAGGGAAAGAAATATTTTTACCAAGTGTTCTTACTATACTACCTTAATAAATGCCTTTGCTAAATTTTCTGCTGGCTGGTAGTTAATGGGAAGCATACAGGTGAGGGCTAATGATTCCCACTACTAGAAATTGAGCTCCTTAGGATTACCCCTGGAGTTTTGAGAGTAGCAGTCATTCCTTTGGGGACCTAATCCATAAAGTACAATATAGGTTGGAAAACTGACTCCAGAAGAGGCAATAAACTGTAAATTCAAACTTTTTATGTGGCTACCAAATTTAAGCTTTAGCTTTTATTGAAACAAAAATGCATTCTTGTTTTGCATTGCATAAAGTTTAATTTCTGATAACATTTATAACACTAATAGAAATAGAAATATAAGATTCTTACATAACCATACAGCAAGATGTTTATTGAAAAGCCAAATAAGGGGGAATCTTACAGTGATTCTCTTTTCATTCCAAGGTAATGATATCCTAACAATCATTGAGTGAGCTGCCTCTTGGTGGTTGCTTCTCTTACACTTGACTTTTTTAAATGGAGGCTGGATATATTCAGTTTTGGATGCCACATTTTGGGAAGGACATTAATAAGCTGAAGGAGATTCAAAGAAGGGCAACCGGGATGCCACATAAGGATTAATTGAAAGGATTGGGACTATTTAGACTGGAGAAGATTTAGGAGTGATGTGATAGCTTTCTTCAAGTATATGAAAAGCTGCCATCTCAAAGAGGAATTAGACTTGTTCTCTTTGACCTTAGAAGGCAGAACTAGGAACAGTGGTCAAAAATTGCAAAGAGAAAGTTTAGGCTTGAAAAAAGGGGTAAAAAAGCTTGGTCATTTTTAGAATTATCAAAAAGTATCATTGGCTCCTCTAGGAGAGAGCAATTTTCCCTCACTGAAAATCGTCATGCAAAGGCTGGATGACCACTCAGGCTATGCTGCAGGGGCATGTCTATTCGGATATGGGTTATAGTTGGTGATCTCTGAGATCTTTTTTAGATCTAACAGTCCATATTTCTATCAGGTGCTTCTTTTCAATTTTATTTTTGTTTAGACTTTTCAATGTTTAAAAAATTGATATTATTGTTGTGGGTACCCCCTCTGCAGATTGTAATGCCTTTGTGTGCTAGTAGAAAGACTGATAGGTTTCTGTTCCACATGCCTTAACCCAATCCAGTCCAATCCAAGAAACATATATTAAGTGCCACTGATATGTCAGACACTGAGCTAAACCCTGGAGATACAATTAATAAGAAAACATTATTTATTTTTGTTTATTTATTGTTAGTAATAAGAAAATAATATAAGAAAATGATAAGAAAATAAGTCCTTTTCCTCCATGAGCTTACAATCTAAAGGGGGAGACAAAACACAAAATGACTCAGGGAACAGGGCGCCAGGGGGGTACCCAGCACAGTGGCACCTTGTTCTGTGGAATTGAAACCAGGCAGGGCAACAGATGCAGATTGGAGTGATCTGAGAGTCTATTTTCTGCCCTCTTGGGAAGAAAGCATTGGGGGAAGTTTGATATTCTACTCTTTAGCCCTTCAAAAAAAGAGAAAAGGAATGGAGTTAATCAAGGCTTGAATTAGCAGCATGGTGGTGAGTTTAGAAATAATGAAATCTCCCCTCCTCCCACCCCCCACACTGCCAAATCATCACTCACTGGCCAAATTTTTAGCAAGGAGAGTCTCCAGATTTAGACTTATCTTTAGATGACAAGCGTACAGCGTGTTTCTGGCCTCATACTAAAAACCTTTGCACTTTTTTAAGGACCTGCCATAACTTGCTCGACTGGCATATACTTCAAGGACACAGGATCACCTCCATGCTATAAAGAGTCATCAGGGTAGGATTTTCAATTTAGGTAAGGCATTAAAATAGATGCATTTTATGGGCTGAATTTGTGGGAGGACATAGACAAAAACTGCACAAGACAAGAAGACATAGATAGCCTGCTATCTGAGCCATTGAGGGGAATATTCACATTGATGAGATCATAGTTTCTTTATTAGAGTCAAAAATAGATGCGGATTTTTAGACAAGTGAATTTGTCACAGGATAACTGCCATAGAATGAATTTTTGACCATATCTAATTATATGAATCCATTTTTTCTTCTTTTTCCTTAGACAGTTTTATTTTGGTTTTCATTTTAGTCTCTTTGATTGAGAATTTTAATTTGTTATAAATATTGACCATACCTGGCTCAGATTCTTAAAATCTGGCCTGCTTGCAATAGCTCACAAATGTTCAGATTCTTTAAGAGGCTAGCTGATGGCTGGGACTCGCTCAAGCCCACTTGTCAATGTCAGCATCACAAATGTTTAGATACACTTTGTCTTTGGCTGAAAAAAAAAATAATGACCATACCTTATGTATGCATAACCTGACTTTTTTTTTGTCTTTGAGGATAGTTTTGCATAGGGTCAAATTAAATTTTAATAAATCATCAGCTAATTTCCAATCATTATTAAAACATATTAAAATATGCTTACCACAAGCACATGTCAGTATGTCATCAACCTTAAATAAACATTTTTGAGAGTACTAGAAGATATGCAGATATTTTGCATTTGCTTAAAATACTCCCATATGTAGTCTAGGCCTTCTTCAAATGTGGAACCTTGAAAACAAAACCTGGTTTCTAAACATGCCTTGGGTTGTTGTTTATTTAAATCACAACTTATGATACCTCACGCAAGTTTTCCTTTAGTCAGAATAGCCCAGTGATGGATTAGGTCCAATCAAAGACATTTAATGAAATAGAATAGTTAGGTATGTAACAGTTCAACAACAGCAACAAAAAATCCACCCTGCCACAAACAGAAATTTCCTGGTGGGAGAGTAAAGTGAATGCGTTGAAAATTTCACAGTCCTAGCATTTGTCCCAGGTCAGTAGCTCTCTGCCTCTGAGATTCCTGCTTGCTTCTTCCCTACAGAGCTGCTGATGTCATTTGCTGTTCTCCTGACTCCTGTTTGGCTGTTTTCTCTACTGTGTTTCACTCTCCCTAGCTGCTAACCTCGGCTGCTGTTTTTCCACTTAATGCGCTTTCTAAGTAGCTTTTTCCCACGGAGGAGATCTTATAGAACTTTTGTAAGTATAATAACCAAACTCAGAACTATTTCAGCTCTTTTGTGAGTCATATTCATACCTGTTGTCGTCAAGTATAGTAAAAGTCCCTCAGTTCAAAGTTGTTTTATTGAACTCCTTTTGCTCCCATTAGCATCATCTAATTTGGTTTGTCTTGTTCTTTAAGTTGGTGTGAGCAAACTTCTCTCAACAGTCACCATGGTCTTCAACATCAAAGCTAGGGACATACAAATTCCTCTTGGGCTTCATTTATTAAGACCTTCATTTAACCCTGATTGCTTTGCCAAAAAAAAAAAAAAGACTACAAGGGATAGAGTAGAAATGATGACTTTTGTCCTGTATTTCTTCAGTTGCTCCTACATATTCTTTTCCCCATAAATATGAATGCTCCTTGAAGAAAAAATGATTGCAAAAATTCCTTTGGTAAAAACTCTGTCAGAAAAGTGGGCATTTCATTTTATTTCTGAAGCAGTATTACATTTCTGTTGGATCATGGTCTCATAAATCTAGAGCTGAATGAGACTTTAAAGGTCATCTAGTGCAACCCCCTCATTTTAAAGGTAAGGACACTGAGGTTCAGAGGTTAAATGACTTGCCCAAGGCCACATAGGTAGTAAGAGGCAGAAATGGCATTAGGACCCAGATTCTCTCACTCTTAAGTTTAGTCCTCCTCCTATTACTCTAAATATAAGGGTTTTTAATTGACTATTAATGAGGTAGTAACTTGACTGGTTACAAGTTATCAGGCAGAGGAAATTATAGAGAGCTATAGAGTCTCAGGACTGATTATATTCTTTTTAAAATTTATTTTATTTTCAATTCATGGAACAGAACAAGAATTTCTATAACACAGTACAATAAAACAGAAGATTGCACATGAAACTGGAAATTTACCATGTACAACTTGCTATTCCCTCCAAATATTCAACAAAATTATCATGTAAATTTATTTTTCCCTTTTTTTCTTCCCCCCTGTCCTGGAGATGACTACCGCTAGACACAAAAATATATATGTATGTATGTGGGTATGTGTATATGTATATATCTATATATGTGTATATGTATGTATGTAAAATTATTCTATACATCTATTCATCAGTTCTTTCTCTGGATGCAGATAGTGCCTTTCTTCATTTGTCCTTTATTTTTAATTTGTATATTTATAATAGTCAAAATGACTTAGTTGCTCAAAGTCGTTCTTAAAGCAATATTGCTGTTACTATATACAATGTTCTTTTGGTTCTGCTTACTTGGCTCTTCATCATTTTGTGTAAGTCTTTCCATGCCTTTCTAAGATCTTTATGCTCATCATTTCTTGCAGCACAGTAGTATCCCATCACAACCTGATTTTACTGCACCAAAGTAAGAGTATCACTGCCCTTATGCTTCCCCATAAAACCCTCCGCTTCTCTATGTCTGCATCCAGATCAAAATGGCAGTGATGTCAATATTTCATGTAACGTCTAAATGTGATAGGTATAGAAAAACTTGCCTATCAGCAGCTGTGGTGAAGTAAATACTCTTGCTGTCTCTACCATCCCCACTCCAAGTCCCCATTCTTAGAAACCCTAAGAAACCCCTAATTTCTAGCCTGTGTCTTTCTGGACAACTGCCAACTACAGAAGTCTTTCTGTATCATGATCATAGTTACAAGCCTGCACTTTTCACCTACTTGGTTTATTTTTATTTTTATCTAATTTTTTTTTAATGCTGACTTCATTTCCTCGTTTGGCAAGTTCCTGTGAAGGATAAGCATTAATTGCTAATCTTATTTTTTACGTGCACCTGCTTTCATACACACCCACACCCACACCCACACACACATAGACACAAATATATGTATGTCTATATGCATAGTTAGTGGTAGAATTAATGAAAGCCATAAAACTCCTAGAATCAATCTTTGTACCATCCATCTGTTGAAAATTATCTATAGGATAGCATATCATTTGGGGGGAGTGAGTGGAATAAATTCTTCTGCTCCATACTGTTGGTAGATGCTGCCTCCTTATGGATAGATTCTTAAGAATAGAGAAGCAACAAAGTATATTGGAAGGAGCTCTGGACTCAGAGTTAGAGGCTGTGACTTTTGGCTAGTTGTACAGCCTCAATGTGTTCATCTATAAATATGACGATATCTGTCCTAAGTATTTCATAGAATTGTCATTAGGATTAAATTAGGAGATACTATAGGAATGTAGGATATTAGTTGTACGGAAAAAATAAATGCTAAGTATACATTACATAGCAAAGAAGTTTCCCTTGGAGGCTTGGTGACTAATGAAGACCAGTATATTGTTTGCCAGAGACTTTTTCTAGACCTCTCTTCCTCATCTAGAAGATGAACAAAATCAGATGCACTTATTAGCCATCCAGAAATCTACTGTTCCACTGGAGAGAATGTATGCTAATGGAGAATTATATAGTGTTTTTCCCCCCCGTTAGTGTGGTGTGTTTCCACATTTCTATAAAAGTTTAGGTCCTCATCGAATACAGCTAAAACTTGAACTTTCTGATAAGGTGCCAAATTTTCACAGGGCTCCATTTATTTGGACATTGATAGGAGCAAGGAAGCAAAATCTACATGTGTGACTAACTGACTTGCCATTGTCATGCTAGCTAAGGGAAGGAAGGGGAATAAACATTTATTTAGTGTCTACTTTGTGCCAGGCATTATGCTAAGTGCTTTATGAATGAATGCTGTATCCATGGAAAAGAAAATTCTTTGAAAAATTGCCCCTGTTGGCCAATCTTTTGAAAAAATGATCTTTAAACTCAGATTTTCAAAATTAGGAGCTTTTTTGATACTTCATTGGAATGATACATGTCTAGTCAATGGTATATGCAGGGTGTTCCAAAAGTCTCAGCACAGCTTTGAGCTATTAAAACTTAAAAATTGAACTAAGACTTGGGATACTCTTTATAACAAGAGATATCCTGATATGCTAGATCAAGGATCTAAATTTATACATATGCTACATATAAGAAGGCCCACATAAAGAAGCCACACAAGTGGAAAAAAAGGTCCATTCATATGTACATTGGTAGACTCCATTCAGTACAAAGAAGTGTGATTCAGTATTTTTAAAATGTTATTTCTTATTATTACTTTCATTTTCTTGGATACTAATAAACTTTTTTATTTCTAGTGGTATTAAGGATGAAATTAATAAAAAAAAACACTTGTATTGAGTATTTTATTAACTTGAGACTATTTTATTAACTTAATTTCATTGGAACTCTGTTTTTTAATAATATGTAATGTGCTTTTACAAATAAAATTTAATTGTTTTTTAAGCCCCAAAGCTTCAGCAGACCCTATCTAGATAAATGGGCAAGCTTCTGCATATATTAACATAATCTACTCATTTGCAAGCATCACAGGAGACCTAAATTTAGAATTTGGTTATCCTGACACCACAGGCTTCCTTATCATTCTTGGCAGCTTGTCATCCAGGCTAATAATGCAGATCTGTTCCTTTAAATCACAATAGCTTTTAATCAGCCTCTATATATATTTGAAAGGAGATAATGCTAGTACAGAGGACAGCATTAACTTAAGAACTAAAAAGTGTTTTTGTTTTCAGTCTACTTAATGCTCAGTAGAGGTCAGTCGTGAAACATGGCAGATAGAAAAAAAGAGGGATGGAAGCATAAAAATTAATCTGAGGCTAGTCTAGTTCAACAACTTTAACAAAGTAATTTACAGTTTTAATAATATATGGTCTGTTTTTTTTCTTCTTAATTTTATTTTTTTCAATTCATGAGCATTTATTTCTTCTGGTTTTAGCACCACCCCTCCCCCCCAAAAAAAAGGAAAAAGAAAGTCTTTGTAATAAATATGCATGGTCAAGCAAAACCAAATCTCACCCTGGCCCTGTCCAAAAATGTATATTGCCTTCTACATCTTGAATCCATCCATTTTCTTTCAGGAGACTGGCAGCATGCATTGTTATTTGTCCTCTGGAATCATGAGTGATCCTTGCATTGATCAGAATTCTTATATCTTTCAAAGTTGCTTCTCTTTACAATGTTGTTATTTTATAAATTATTATGGTTCTACTCACTTCACTCTGCATTAATTCTACAAGTCTTCTCAGTTTCACACATTGTCTGTAAAATTAAGTAGTTGCTATATTTCATTTTACACAGTAAGTAGGTTGTTGTTCAGTTGTTTCAGACTCTTCGAGACCCTATTTGCAGTTATCATAGCAAAGATACTGGAGTCTTTTGCCATTCCCTTCTCTAGGAAACTGAGGCAAATAAGATTAAATGACTTATGCAGTAAATGTCTGAGGCTGTATTTGAACTCGGTTCTTCTTGGCTACAGTCCTAGCTCTCTATCCACTGTGCCATTTAGGTGATAATAATAATAAGTCTAATGAAAAATATATTCCCAAAAATTTGTGTATCCATCGGACCCTTGTAAAATTAACCCTTAGATTTAGATCTGCAAGGGATTTTCCAGGTCATTTAGTCCAAACCCTTTATTTTACAAATGAGGAAATTAAGACTCAGGAGATTAAATAATTTGCCTTAATTCATGTGGTTAAAAGTGGCAGAACTGGGGTCTGAGCCCAGATCTACTCATTCCAAATTCAGGGCTCCTTCCTGTATTTCAAATGCCAGAGGAGCATTACTTCAAAAAAAATCTTAATGATAAAATTTTTATGTAAAGAATTCTCTAAATTACCTATTTTGTGTTTTGATTTTTATAAAAAGATTTTTAAAAGCAGAACCAACTTATATTTAAATTATATTTTAAATAGCAATTTATGGTTGAAATAAATTGGTTCCCCCTTGAAGAGGTTTCCCTCTTGGTTCCCCCAAAAGGGAAAATGACTATTATCACATCTAAATAAATAATAAATATATGTATGTGTACATATTCATACATACACATTTACTGGAAAAGAAATGTTACTACATTCAAAACTGACTACTAGAAAAGATAGGCCTGCTACTTTCCTCTGCAAAGTCATGTTTCTCATTAATAATTCAAT